GGAAGAAACAGCCTAGACCCAAACTGGCGAAAGCCCTACGCCAGTCACCCTAGCAGGAGGTGCAGGAGGTGGTAAATGGCGCCGCGGTCCCAGCACCTGCAGTTAAGGGTTTAGGGTTTAGGGTTTAGGGTAGGGACACTAACTTAAGGGACGCATCGCCTAAGTCAGAAACTTGTTACCCAATGTAGTGCCCTACTATCTCTCCTTCCTTAGACTTGGGGACCACATGACCCTAAAATCGGGGCCATGTACCCTGTACCACTATAATTCCTATTTCACGTATATGAGCCAGACACCCCTTTAAGGTTCATGTGGTCCTTATAAGGCAGCAACTCTCCTTCCTTATACTTGCTAAACCACAAGGCGCAAGATCGAGAGTTTTGTTGAGGGGAGAGTAGGGTGTCGGGCTTCCTGTTGGCGAGTCGAGCCTCTTGAATCTTTCAGCATTTTTAGCGTGTCCATAGTCTCTATAGACGTGCAATTCTACAGCAAAAAAAAGAGGCTGCGGACCGCCGTTCGTGTTGGGGCCGATACTTACTTTAGGGTTTAGGGTTTTGGGTTTAGCCTACCCTAATCCCTGAGACCTTCAACAAGACGAACTAAACCCTAAATCCCTGCAATCCAAATCGCCCGCAGCCCTGGTCACACATGTTTCAAAGGCCCCCTTATGAAACCCCATGCAGCAGAAGGGTTTTTCGGTACCTCAACCCTCAACCCTAAACCCGCAACTACCCCTCAACTAGGAGTCCCAACCTGCGAATTTGTACACTACCCCTATGATTGATGAGGAGGGGGGGTGGGGGGGGGTGGTAGCGGTTGTTGTAGAGCCGTAGATCCTTTCAGATCCTAAGTACCACTATCAAAACCCTTAAAAGAGACCACAAGAATGAAGATGTCGTGGCCTTGGCGAAGAGCACTCCAAGCCCCAAACCCAGCACACCCCGAAACCAAGACCCTACAAAAAAAACCCAAACCCTAAACCCTAAACCCTAAACCCTAAACCCTAAACCCTAAACCCTAAACCCTAAACCCTAAACCCTAAACCCTAAACCCTAAACCCTAAACCCTAACCCTAAACCCTATAAACCCTAAACCCCTAAACCCCTAAACCCCTAAACCCCTAAACCCCTAGACCCCAGTCCCAAAATTGCATCCGCCGTTTTTTGGCTTCAGAGAAAACCATCGCGCTGGAGGGGCGCCCCAAGCTTCGCCGAGCTGCAGGCTGTGGAAAGCCATGCCGCGTCTTGCCTAAACCCTAAAAACCCTAAACCCTAAACCGGTAGCAAAAAAACATAAACCCTTAGGATTGTTCGGGTTTAAAGTTCTCAGTGGCTACCCATGTTTGAGCGTGTCGGATACCCTTGTAACCCTAAATTTGACAACTGCTGAGTGACTCTGAGTGGTTCGTCCAGCTATGCGGGTGCCAAAAGGTACTTACAGGAGGACGGTGCTGAGGAAAGGTTCAGGGCCAAAAAGGGTGCTTAGGGCGCTCAGGGTGGCGTAGGCCCAAGCCGTTTCAAGAGCCCCAACTACTTAGGGTTTAGGGTTTAGGGTTTAGGGTTTAGGGTTTAGGGTCTACAGTTCTCACTCCCAGGGCGCTAGCAGCAATGAAAGGTGGTTGGCGGCTACGTAACGAACTAAAACAACCTCAGCCCTAAATCCCCTGTTTAGGATTTAGGGTTTAGGGTTTAGGGTTTAAGGTTTAGGGGTAAGCCCTATATAAGCACTATAAACCCTACAAACCCCAAAGCCTGTAAACCCCGTAAACCCCATAAACCCTATAACCCCCTTGGCCCGATAAGCCACAGCTTCCCCACAAACCCTTCTGGGTTTAGGGTTTAGGGTTTAGGGTTTAGGGTTTATGGTTTAGGGTTTAGGGTTTAGGGTACCAGGAGGGGCCCCCTTACTATACGAACTATAGTTAAGGGACATAGAACCTAAGTTATAGGATCCTTATAGCCCAATTTAGGACCCTTATAACTCTACTTCTAACTAGGGGGTCTCCTCCTTGCAGTCACATGGTCCCTTCAAATGGCTCCTTGCCTCCCTTTAAAGGGGTTCTGAACTATGGGCCCTTGGGTTGTAGAGGGGTCAATCAGGGGTCCTCGTTCAAGGGCCCAAACCCTAAACCCTACACCCTAAACCCTACACCCTAAACCCTAAACCCTAAACCCTAAACCCGAAACCCTAAACCCTAAACCCTAAACCCTAAGACTCGAATCCACGGCTGAGGACTGTTCGCAGCCGCGGGCTGCTTCCCATCGTTGCACTAGCACTGGCACTTTGCCTCTGGACCTCACAGGGGCTTAAAGCTTTTTCTCCCTGAGCTTGCACTAAACCCGAAACCCTCAACCCGAAACCCTAAACCCTAAACCCTCAACCCTAAACCCTAAACCCTACTGGGCGGGTGGCAAAAAAACATGCCCTAAACCCTGAAAGGGTCTCCCAGGAAAAAAAATGCTCCCAATTAGGCCCCCCTGCACTTGAGGACCTGAGCAGTGCTGGTACATGACCCTTTTTCAAGGGCACCAAGAGGTGCTCTAGGTATAGGGTGTAGGGTTTAGGGTGTAATTAGGGTTCAGGGTTTAGGGTTTAGGGCTGTTGCGCAAGGGTTGAGCGGGTTGTAAATACCCGAGGTTTACGGGATTTTGGGTTTACTAGCCCAAGCTCTGCATGAAGCCCAATCAAGGTGTAGGGTTGAAGGCTTACTTTTTGTTGAGGGTTCAGGGTGTTGGGTTGAGGGCTTGGGGCTTTAGGCTGTTTAGGCACCATGTGCGGTGATCGTTAGAGGAACCCCGAAAAAAGGTACCCCGAAAATTCGAAAACAGGGGTTTAGGGTTTAGGGTTTTCCCCCCATAATCTCATCCTTGTTATCAGGATCCCCCAAGCAGGACCCTAAACCCACAAGCTTTGAAAGCCCCAAATAGCTTTGCTTTGGTAGCCCCCTGGTCCCCTTTTCCCTCTTTTTTGTTCAAGGTCCCCTTATAAAGGAACCAACCCCCAAAAAAGGTGCCCTTATCATAATATGGTTTCTGGGCTACCATGTTGCGCGTGCACCCTAATGTCCAGGAGGAATAGCAAGAACAAGATTGAACCTCGCCCTTGTGTGGTATGCGAGCTGCAGTTGGATCTCAGTCCTTTCGAAGAAGATCGCACCCTAAACCCCTAAACCCCTAAACCCTAAACCCTAAACCCTGCATCCCATAGCTTCCCAGACTCTTGGGAGGATCCAAACCGTGCCCTATACTGTTGGGCCGCTTGGGATGTTCCACCTTTGTCTTACCGTCCTTCATACATACGTTAAACAGGTTGGTGGTCTCTTGAATTGGGGTTTCTGTTTTAGAAGCGGTAGATATAGGGAGCCTTGTTATGGTATGTAGGGGGTATATGGGGTAGTTTATGGAACAGATAAAGAGACCACAAGCCTGTGTAATTTCTAGGGATCATATTACGAGTACTATAATCCCTATTAGAGGACTGTTAGTCTACGGGGGGAAGATCCCAAATTAGACACTCTTAGGAACCCTTAAGGGGATCCACTTTGTGGATCCTTCCAGGGGTCTGGGTCGGGTATGCGGGGCAGTCTGCACTGTGTTCGGGCCTTAGGGTTGCGAGGGACCAATCTTGGCATTTCTGGGCCCCGAGCCCTAAACCTTATAAACCCTAAACCCTAGTCGCAACCCTAAACCTTATAAATCGTAAGCCATAAGCCTGATACATCCTAAACCCTGAACCCTGAGCCCTAAACCCTGTAAACTCTCAACCACACAACGCTCAACCACACGAGCGTTGCGCAGGAGGCGGTCTGATTCTGAGGACTTCACCTTGCCAAACGCAGCAATGAGACCGAAGGCAGGGTGTGGATAATTGGGGTATTGGGGGGCTAAACCCGAAATCCTAAACCCTAACAACTAAAACCTAAACCAAAGGCTTGTCCCAGCTTGGCTCCAGCAGTCTGGGTTGAAGGGTTTTTAGGGGTCTTAGCTTTCTTTGGCTTATAGGGTATAGGGTTGAGGGTTTAGGGTTGGGTTTAGGGTTTTGAGTTCAGGGGTCAGGGCACAAGGTTTACGGGGTCAAACCAAGGTTTTCAGGGAACCCTAAACCCTAAACCTTAAACCGTGGGTTGTGGCGAGGCACGTCACCGTGAACGGCATTCCCCGGTATAGGTGCCTTCAGTGAAGATCTTGCATACCGCCCCCGAAGCCCTGACCCTAAACCCCCTCAAATCTAGGCACCCTGCACCCTAAACCCCCTAAAACCCCTAAACCCAACGAAAGTGAAAGGGTTTAGGGTTTATGGTTTCGGGTTTAGGGCTGAGGGTTTAGAGTGCTTCGTAGTACAGTAGCTACTTTTAACCAGAACCCTAAACCCTAAACCCTAAACCAAAGGTGGACCTTTAGTTCCCCCAGGATACTGGACAACTAAGAGCTGCCATGTCTCGTATCCTCGTCTCCTTCCTGTCGGGTTCTTGGAGGATCGAGGGGCTTAGGAAGTAGCAATTGTGTACTGTAAGGGTTGCCCCCCAACTGGGGTCCCTATGCACTCTTGTGGCTCAACTTTGTACCTACTACCTCCCCCGATTCTCCAAGCTAGCATCTCAAACAAACCCGTTGAAACGAAACGAAGCTTTTCTGATAGGTGTAAAGTCTGAGATGAGGGAAATGGCTTCCATCTGCAAATGTCGTGCATAAGGCTGCCGCAGCAGACAAGCCCAATGTGCATCCTGGTGGCAGTAGCGAAGATGTGTTGGCCCTTCGGGAGGTTTCAAATTAGATGCTTCATTCTGTCCTTGCACGCTTTTGTGGCATGCGATTTCTCTAGCTCTTGTCCAAATGTTCAGAAAGTGCGGTGTTCCCCTTTCGACAGGGAAGTTTGTCATGTTCTCATGTCGACTTTTATTGTATGGGACGCTTCTGCATGTCTGATTCCCTCTATATCCGTTCATCATGAACGCTGGTCTTTCTCGCATGCGGAGAATGGACATGTCAGCGTCTCCAGCAATGCAAGCTGCTGACCTCGCAGTGAAGCAGGGCCGTGTAATGTCCTGCGTCAACAGGCGGTTTATCGTCCAGTGCTCTAAACAGGACCCAGGCAAGCTATCTGGGAGGAATTGGCAAGTAGTTCAGCAGGGGCTGTTCAACAGGATTACCTCAATTGAAGTTCGGTACGTGCCGTTTACGGCGCTTACATGTCTAAGTCCCCCCATCCTCCCCCTAAACCCTAAACCCTAAACCCTAAACCCTAAACCCTAAACCCTAAACCCTAAACCCAAATCCCCAGGAGTCCCTGCTGTCCAGGCTGGCAGGCACCTTTGAGATGGGCAAGTCGGAGGAACCAGTGACTGCCATGGCCTCCTCGCACCATGTGAACGGCTCAGCGTTTAGGGTTTAGGGTTTAGGGTTTAGGGTTTAGGGTTTAGGGTTTAGGTTTCAGGGTTCAGGGTTCAGGGTTTAGGGTTTAGGGTTTAGGGCTCAGCGCTAGTTTGACAGGGCTTCTTTTTCTCTTACTTTTATGGGTCCGGGCTTGGTGTTGGGTGTGATCTTTAGGAGGCAACACAGAGTTGAGAGCCAGCCCTTGGGAACCGGCATGTCCACGAGGCATGGCCGAAGTTGTGTGAAAAGCTCCCCCCCCCCCCAAAAAAAAAACAAGAGAAAGTACATATATATATATATATATATGTATATTCATAATACAACAGTATTGTGTGGATATATATATATGTAGAAATAAACCTTAAACCCTAGACATGAAGCTCAAACAACCTCCAACCTCTGTGGTCGAAGAGCTCCAGTAGGCATCGAGTTCCTCAAAGAGTTGTGCCGCTTTTGCCTAGGAGGGCTCAGGGTTTAGGGTTTAGGGTTTCAGTCCAGTTTGCAGGAACATTCATTCCCCCCGACCGCCTCACACACCAGCCAGAGGAAGGGCTGGTGGTTGCTGTGGCTCACAGCGCCTGTCATATTGGCAGTTACCCTAAGGCTCCAAGGACACTCCTACAGAGGTTTTGAGGGCCCAAGAGCCTTAGGGTAGGGAGAGGGGCAGCTGCACTTACCCCAAACCCTAAATCCTAAACCCAAAACCCTCACAAGCGTCTTCGCTCGGCCTCTTTTTGCAAGACCCGACGGCCGAATAGCAGCCCTTAGTAGTGGCTTATTTTGTTCCGGACCTGCCCAACGACGGACCCATGACCATTTCACAAATCGCAATCTTTTGATCATTCTGCTAAACCCTAAACCCTAAACCCTAAACCCTAAACCCTAAACCCTAAACCCTAAACCCTCGACTTGAGGCTTTACTAGGACCCAGAGTAGGCCCTTATTTCCTGTTTATGATTCAGAGCCCCTTTAAACCAAAAAGGGTACCCTATTGATTCCTATATTACTCCTGGGTCTAGTTTATAAACCATACAATCGGCAGACCAAGTTTTTGTGCTGCGTCAGTCTTGGCTAAACGCGCCGAATAGAAAAGAACCTCCCTAATTCCCAAACCCTAAACCCTAAACCCTCTGAGCCCACAAATCTCTAAAGGTCAAGCCGGCCTACTACAATGACGGCTGGCGTCACGGAGGCATCAACATGTGGATGGAGGACCTACCCTGAGCTACAGCTCGAAGCAAGACGTCACAATCTATAGGTCAGGGTTGAGGGTTTAGGGTTTAGCGTTTAGGGTTTAGGGTTTCGGTTTTGGGTTTAGGGTTTGGGGTTTAGGGTTTGGGGTTTAGGGTTTAGGGTTCAGGGTTTATATGGTTTGTTCTGGGTTTGGAGTTCATAAGCGACGACGATGCTTGCAGAAGACTACGAAGGCTTGTCGAGGGCTTTCTGCACCTAAACACTCACTGGGAGCGTACTGCAGCATGGATGGGTTCCCCTTTGCCAGAAACTGCGCACCCCCCACCCCCACCCCCCCTACCCAAACCCTAGACTCTAAACCGCTTCGTAGAACAAGGGCTGGGATGGACAATGTTATTCTTGTCCCAACAGGGCGCAGCTCCGAAAACGCATGAACAACGAGGGACTCCCCTGCAGGGCGATGTTCTGCATCAGATAGGCGGGTGGCAAAAAAAAAACCGCTAAACCCTAAATCCGAACCCCCCCCCCCCCCCCGCCCATCTCAAAACCCATATTCCGGAGACCTCCCCTCATGTGCTTTGTTGTGTTCGCAGGTGTGAATCCAGTTTCTTCAAGTTCCACCATGTTCCTGCGCAGCCCAACCTGTCTGCCAATAGAACTCGAAACTCTCAACCCTTCACTCCGCCCCTCATGGCACCTACTGATCTAGGGAGCTAGGGTTTCTATGCCGATGTTTTTGAAGGACCAGCTAGGTGGAAATTGGATGAACGTCTCAGCGTCGCTCGGATGCAGGAGTGGAGCTGTTAGTACGACAATTTTTTGGAAATAGCTTTCGTCCACTCTCGGGCTTGCTCTCTGTCTACCTATCAATCTACCTGGCTATCTATCTGTCTATCTATCTGTCTATGTATGTGTACTTTGGAGGCCTCGAGGGTTTGAAGGCTCCCACGCACTACCGAGGCTAAAACAATACACCTACGCCAGCGGCCGTCTCAAGCCCCGAGTCCTTTGCTCAGCTGACACGACTGCTAGAGCCTCCGCAGTTTAGGATTTAAAGGGTTCAGGGTTTAGGGTTTAGGGTTTAGGGTTTAGGGTTTAGGGTTTAGGGTTTAGGGTTATAAGACAAAACATACCAGGCTTGTCTGAGAATGTTGGGTCGGATGTTCGGGCTTAGGGCTAGGAAGCCAAGGCAGCTACAACCCCAGAGAGTCCCCTTAGATTAAGGAATATTCCTTAGCTAAGGGGTGTTGGAGTCCCTGAACCCTAAACCCTAAACCCTAAACCCTAAACCCTAAACCCTAATCCCGAAACCCTAAACCCTAAACCCGGTTTTGCTTCAGCCCGGCTTTTGAAGGTGCTGACCAAGCTTCGGATGTCCGACCACAAGCGCCTGAGCTATTTTTTAGGGTTTAGGGTTTAGGGTTTTAGGGTTTAGGGTTTAGGGTTTGGAGTGTAGGGTTCCATGGGTTCCATGGGTTTCAGTGTGCCTAGGTGTTCGGGGTTCGGGCTTCGTCCGAGAAGCCGCGTCATGAGCACCATCACATGCTCAGCCCCAAAAGAGGCCTTGCTGACCTGAGGACGTAGCTGTATAGCCATTCACGAAGATCGATTGCAAAGATGCTCCAAGGGACCACCGCTCCCCCAACCCCCCACCCACCCCAAGCTATGATTTCATGACCGCCCCTAAACCCTAAACCCCAAACCCTAAACCCTAAACCCTCTTCCCTCTTCCGCTGCTGCACGAGGCGTGCTGTCAAGTATATCAAGCGCTTCCGTCGATTGGGCATCATGCACCTTGCACTGCAGATGATTGGCACGTTTTACGCTTGGACCGTAGCATGGTTTTAGGCTTTATAGGGTTTAGGGGGGTGGTAGGAGTTGATGAACGATGCTGATGATGAAAGCGGGGGCTGTCGTCGGCGGGATCGTTGATTGTTTCGATCTTGCTTGCTCTGCCTTCATTCCCTTGCACACTGGAGTGCCAGTGGCGCAGGGGGGCTAGGGATTCGTCCCCGGACCCCCTGTGCGGACGAGAACTGAAAGAAGCATAGAAAGCACTAGAGACCTTGATGCTGAACAACTTGTGTACTCTAGGGGTCGGAATCATTCCTAGCAGAATTCCTTTATGGTCATCCCGAAACCCTGTTCTAACTATTAAGGCTCCTAGACTAGAATAGTTCTACCCCCCATCAACCTCAACCCGGAGCTCGACACCGCCTTTGCCTCAACTTTTAGCCTCCCCATTCCCCCCCCCCCCCCCCCAAAAAAAAAAAAAGAAAACCCTAAACCCTAAACCCTAAACCCTCGAAAGGCCATACCACCGCCTCTTGGCCAAGATCGAGAAGGACCCGGAAGCCAAGCGCCCGGCAAGGACCGCATCTTGCTGATTCGCGTCTTCGGGGCCTCGGGCAGGTATGATCTTGGGGGGAGTTATGGTTGGCAACCCTAAACCCTAAACCCTAAACCCTAAACCCTAAACCCTAAACCCTAAACCCTAAACCCTAAACCATTCTATAGTAGCCCTAAGGGCTGAGACGGTCCTTGAAGACAACGGAGCTCTGAAAACTTATTCTCAGCCTCCAAGGCCTGAAAGACTTCTTTTGTGGGCTAGCATTGAAACCTATAGTAAGAAAATTAGGTACCTAAAAGAAAGTACATTCAAGGGAACGGGGAAGACATAAGGTTCTCATGAGCTGCACGTCGTGCCCCTAAATCTGCAAGCTCATTGCCTGAAGAACCCAAAAAATCTGAAGCGCTTACCAAATGCGTCGGGTTGAGTGTTTTGCAGCGGCCTACTTAGGTCAAATCCAAAACAAAGAAAGACTGGCCCTCAACACAAAAGTACCGACCATGCTGGGCGATGAGGCCTTACGATTCCCGCAAGCAACCCTCTGCGAGGCCCTTACCCACACTCTAAAGCCTAAACCCTAAACTTTAAATGTGGTGTAGTAGACCAACCCGGCCAGTTCCAGGAAGGGCACAGGTTCCGGCACGTTCGGCTTTCGCCGGGACACACCTTCCCAAAAGGTGCCGTGGATCTGGTTCGGAGTTTACCCTAAGGCTCTAAGGACTTTGGGTTTAGGGTTGAGGGTTGAGGTTTGACAGGGTTTAGGGTTTAGGGTTTACCCTGTAAGGCTCTGAGGACTCCTATTTGCGGGTTTTTGGGCCCAAAGTGATTCTTAATTTTAGTACCGGTTAGGTGGAGCGAGGGTTCAGGTCTTTGGGTCAAACTCGTGTCCTTGCGTGAGTGCGCGTGTCATGTGTGTGCTTGCGTCGTGTGCCTGTGGCCACCTTGAGATATGGGATACCTCTTGTCTCTGCAGCTTCGAGAAGATTTGTTTCACATGCAGGGGGGCACGGCATCAGATCCCAGACCGTGCCTAACAAAGCTACGGAATCTGGGAAGCAAGGGCTCATCACCCTTGTGTATACCTGCTCGAAGATACTCCAACGTAACATCCTCTTAGAGCAAGGTTGATGAGACAGGATTTGTGCCGTTGATAAGACAGGGTTTGCGCATGTTGATCAATGCCTAGCCCTCAGGAGAGGGGTGTGTGTGTGTGTGTGTGCGCGCCGGCCATGTATGGCCCCCCTTGAAAGAAAGGAGCTCCCTCAAGGAGAACTACCAAGTAGTTGCTGTGCATCCCATGAAAATGCGGAATGCTTCGCCGCCTAAGCCCACCCTCAGAAACCAAGCGTGAGCTGACAACAACAAACTCGTTGGAGCTTAGCTTAGCCTTTTTACACGGTGGGAGTTACAGGGGCCTTAAACTGGGTTATAAGCATCATAACTTAGCATAAAGTTGGAAAAGCAGAGGGCCCGCACTTGCATGGGGGATCTGTAGCAGTAACCTCGGACGTGCAGGATTGGCGGTCTGCATCTTCATAGGCAAACCGTATACAAACAGTGCAGTCACCACACTGGGCGCCATTAAACCCTAAAACCCTAAACCCTAAACCAAACTTAAACCCTAAACCCTAAACCCTGCCCCCAGGGGGTAAGCGCAGAAGTGGACGAGCTCGAGAAAAGCGGCTAGGCAGCTCCCGTTTTGTTGCGGGCAAATCCTTGATGTTTCTTTGCTTTTAAGAACCGCACCAAAAATTGAAGAATAACAATCCCTATGTGGGGGTTTCTGAAGTTCGGGGTACCTTATTGGGGTTCTTATTATTAGGGGATCCTATTGTTTGGTGATATATATATATATATGTTTATTTATATTGGGGTTCCCCTATTTTTCGTAGACCCCCATACGTGTTTTTTGGGTGGTTCTGCTTGTAGAGCTTGGTTCTACAGGTTGTGCAGCAGGGAGTTGCCAGCAAGGGGTTAGGGGTTAGGGTTTAGGGTTTAGGGTTTAGGGTTTAGGGTTTAGGATGTGCTAACATATGCTTTGGAATGCCTTGAAGAGGGGCCTCCATACTAGACTCACCATAGTTAAGGGACTTACAAGCTAAGTTCGGATCCTTATAACGCAATTTACGGCCCTTATACCTCTACTTCTAACTGGGGGGGGGTTCTTGTAGGGTTGATGATGGGGATTCGAAGGTGTAACGGCCCTGGCAAGGCACAAACAGTCTATAGGATGAGGGTTTAGGGTGTTCGGGTCTTGGGTGTTCACGGGGTGCATCCGGCATCATCTCGCCCAGCTTCGGCCCAGCTCAGGAACAGCAGTGTAACTTGCAGGCACTCGCAGCACTTAAGGTCATGGCTCCTCACAGCAACTTCCGCCGCACACTGCTCCTGGTGCTGGCCTGCGCGGCCCTGTGGTTCCACAACTCCGAGGTGGGCTTCCTGGCGGGCCCCGGCGGTCCCCCACCCAAAGAGCCCAGCACCGTGCGCAGCGCACCCCCCCGTTCCGTGGAGCGGGCGGCGGGGGCGGACGCGAACGCGGAGCCGGTGACAGGGGAGAGCTCCATCGTTGAAGAGATCTTGGCGGGCATCAGTGTGGCTTTCTCGCTGCTTTCCAAGGCCATCGCCTGCAGCGCCATCGTCGGCACAGGGCCTCTTGTCGGCCTTTGGTCCTCCGTGGCCCTGGGCTTCGCCAGCCTCTTCGGCATGCGCCCGGGGGTTGTGGCGGGCTCCGCAGCCGTGGTGGTCGTGCCTCTGGGTGCCTTTGTGGCCACTAATGGCCTTGGCTTGGTGCCTCTGGTGGTGCTGCTGGCTGCGATCATCGAGCTCGTGGCAGGCTTGGTCGGCTTTGCCCGCACCCTGGACCTTGTTTCCAAGGAAGTGCTTGCAGGCTTTCTGAACGCACTGGGCCTGGCGTTGCTGGTGTCGCAGTTCGGGGCCCTCTCCACACCCATGGGCTTCGGCTTGGCGGCCATCTGTGCCGCGCTCACCCAGTTCTTGCCCTCGGCACCCATCCCCTCATCGCTCGTTGGCCTCGCCGTGGCCACGGCTGTCGGCATCGGCTTCAACTTCGACGTCCCCACCCTGGCCATGAAGGCCAAGGATCCAACCGCCTTCGCTGGCGGCTTGGCGGCCCTTCCCCAGTTCCAGCTGCCGCAGATGCCCTCCATCGACGACGTCCAGCTCGCCCTGCCCTGCGCCATCTCCATCGCCTTCATCTCCCTCATCGAGACCCTCCTCGCGGCGCGCGTGGTGGACGACCGCAAGTGCGAGGACCTCTGCACGCTTCCCGGCCGCACTTGGCTCCACGCAGGTCCGGCAGGAGAACTAGGCCAAGAGGTCATAAATCTATATAGATAGATATATATAATATATATGTGTGAATATATATATGTATATATATATATATGTATACATAGATATAGTGGCAATTACATTGTCAGAGTCGGTCAGGGCTGCGTTGTGTCTTGGCCTTTTCTTCTTTTTTGTCTGCAGGTTCTTCTACGACGAGAACGGAGAGCTGGTGATGCAGGGTGGGGACCCCGAGGCTCCCCTGCAGGTGGCTATATCCCCCCTTGGGATGTTTTTTTATTCAAATTGTTTGTATAAAACCCAAGAGGATAATAAGAATATTATTGGTTATTGAGGTTCTAAAAGGGTCGAGTATAGGTGGATGTGCCCACGTCCACCGTCCTGTCCCTGGCCGCGGGCAACGGCGCCTCAGTTCTCCTGGGCGGCTTTGGCGGCGCAGGCCTCGTCCCCCAGACGGTGCTGAACCTGAATTCTGGCGGACCCTTGGAGACCACATGAACCCTCAACTTGGGACCATATATCCCTATACTAAGTCACTACTATAATCCCTATTAAGGTACTTGAACCATATAAGCCCTTTTTAAGACTCATTTGGTGTTTAAGGACGTGGCCAATGGTCCATCGGCTCCTACGCGACCTCCATGGTGGTCTTCGCGCTGGTCCTCGCGCCCTTCGTTGGCCAGATCAGCGTGCCGGCCCTGGCCGGCATCATGGTCCAGGTCGACCATTTGCTTAAGAACCCCAAAAAAGGAAAATTAGGAGTCCCTATATTACCCTTATAAGGAAGAATCTTCTTCGTTTTATTTTTATTTTGTATTTATTATTATATATATATATATATGTTTTTTTTTTTTGGGGGGGGGGGGTTCTTAAGCAATTGGTCCAGGTCTCCTTGGACACCATCCAGTTTGTCCCGACCTTCGATGCCATCAAGGCGGCCTTTGATGGGAAGGAAGCTCGGCGGGGTTTAGGGTTTAGGGTTTAGGGTTTAGGGTTTAGGGTTTAGGGTTTAGGGTTTTGTTTTTTCCCTACTTATTGGGCTTAAGAGGAGTAATATTTGGGAGAATATCGCTTTTCTTGGGCTTAAGAGGAGTCATGTTTAGGAGAATACGGCTTTTCGGAGGGTTTTTTTCAGGGGCCAGCCGAGGAAGAAGATGCCAAGATCCGCCTGGGCATCCTGGTTATCACTGCGGTACTCTGCTACCAGGTGCCTAGGGAGGATAATAAGGGGCTAAAAGGGCACCCTTCTTAACCCACTTCTGGCTCTCTTGAACAGGGACCTTATTCAGAGGGTCTACATGTAGGGGCCCCCTAGTTATAAATAGGGTTATAAGGGCCCTAGTTTGGGTTATAAGTATTACTATGTAGGTTCTAACTCCCTTAACTAAGGTTAGTCTAGTAAGGGGGCCCCTACTTGTATCTCCCCAAGGGAACCCCCTAATCCTATCCTCTACAGGTGGACTTCGCAGTGGGCATCGTCACCGGTGTGGCCCTCGACAAGGGGGCGGAGGCCCTAAAGCTGAAGAAGGCCGAGTGAGCTCGAAGATTCCGTGTTCTTTCAAGCGGTTGAATCAGGGGTTCCCCTACTACCCCCCCTCTATACAACCCTCCCCCCACATAATTAAGGTTATTTAGGGATAATTAAGCCTAACCGGGGGTAGTAGGGCAACCCATGGTTGAAGGGCCAACCCTCAGGTAACATGAGAGTGGCCCTCGCACAGACCGCGGTGATCAGTAATCTGTCATTGGTTCTTCACGTTTCCATCCTGGGGCTCGAACCTCAAGCAGTATGAATACCACCCCAAGGGTCCATGTACTTCATTGTTATATACTTGCGCCCCAAAGCCCCTATATTGGAGGTGCTTTTAAGGCACAAGTGTTCCCATCTAGGTACGTGGACTCTTAGGGCCACCCAGGCATCTCATTTGAAATTCCTCCTTTTCTCAAAATGCAAATGCCCGATGCGCAGCCAGAAAAAGAGTGTCTCGATCCTTCCAGGGCTTGGTTTAGGGTTTAGGGTTTTGGGTTTTGGGTATTGCACCCAAAGCAGGACCTTAAGGGTTGTCCGACTTAGCGATCCTGTGCAACATCCACTTGACATAGTTCCCCTCTCCATGCATGACTTTCGGAGCCTGTGCCTTCTGTGTGATACGTAGTCGAAAACCCATTACATTTGCTTGATGGCCAACAAGCCTAAACTCTAATGGCCCATCCTGGCGTATGCAGTGCGGGTGGCAAAAATAGGTCAGTACTGGCACCTTCAGCATTGGGCTTTTCAGTGGACAAACCTGTGACTTGCCGGCGTCTGCCGAAGAAGGGTGCAACGTAAGCAGAGCTGTTGGGCCTTCATGTGCCGAATCACCACTTTGCTTAGCAGCCTTAGCAACCTGATACCTCGGAACCCTGCACCCTAATCCCTAAACCCTGAACCCTAAACCCTATGGGATCAGGCTGGCCGAGCCACGTGGGCTGTTGATGACTGAGGACACTGAAGACTTGCTTGGCCCACTTCGTTTCCGTGCACAGGGACATGTTGGTCTCCACTCACTTGTTGGGGTTTCCGAAATTAATTAGGGGTACTTTTTGGGGGTCCTTATTATAAGGGAATCCTGCTACTTGGGATTTATATTGGGGGTCCCCTATTTTCGTAAAGCCCCACTTGCGCCTCGCCGTTATTCTTATTTCCTACACCGGTGATCCCGATGCCCTGGCACGTAGCGAGCGGTGCAGTCAAAGGGGAGAAGGCTGTCATTGTTTGCTGATGTTGACTTGATCTGCAATCTGTTTGTATCGGTGCGCAAAAAAAGTCGGAAAGCACTCCTAGTTGCCCTAAGGGTCCATGTACCTATATGCTATACACTTGGGCCCTAATGCCATCTCACTTCTGTACAAGCATGGGAACCCCTTTAGGCTTAAGTGTATACTATACGAAGTAGGGTTTTTATTCCTTGTATCCCCTAAAGGACACCAAGTATCTACACTCACCAATATGAAACAGGAACCTTATAATATATACACTCACCAATAACAGCTATATAAACCCAGTTTCATATAGGTACAAGTTCCCTCATTGCATTCTTCCCAAACACTTCCAGAGCCCGAATTTTCACCTCTCCGGACGTGGCCTCGCGAGCGCCAAGCCCCAGGAGAAATACCGCGTTTAGGGTTTAGGGTTCAGGGTTCCTACTTTTTTGATGATTGGTTTGGAGCGTCTGGGGTTCAGGGTTTCAGGCTTCGAGATGCAGGAATGAGATGCAAGAGATGTTTAACACAGGATGTAGAGAGAGAGAGAGAGAGAGAAGAAAAGAGAGTGTTTTGTTGCTCTGCTTAAGCCTTAAAGGCCCACGCTTCTAACCCTCGCTGCTTCCTTGCTGTTGGCCTGGCGTTGAAGACAATGGGGCAGAAGTTCACCATGTGCCTGAGCGCCTCAACCCTTTTCCCCGTGCACTGAAACCCGAAGCCCTAAAGCCCTAAAATTCGAAAGCCGCCTAAAACCCAAAAACCCGGAAACCGTATGGTTGGGGGTTCAAGTTTGTTTTTCATGGAAGAGCTCTGTTCCAAGCATGTGCGACCGAAGCCTGCCTGAAGCCTATAGGGTTTAGGGTTTAGGGTTTGGGGTTTGGGGTTTAAACTTAAAGCGTTTAGGGTTTAAACTATTAAAGCCTAGCCGATCAAAGCCGGAACTGTAGGCCGGAGGCGGTGGCGGGCTGAACATGGTAAACACCGTGCCGAGCCCAGGGGACAAGGTGGGCACGTGGCGGTAGAGATGCCTGTTCTTAGTACCTTGGGGACGAAATGAGCCCCAAAATTGGGGTCATATGCCCTATACTACTGTGATTCCTTTTAAGGTAATATGAACCATAAACCCTTTTAGGGTTCATTTCGTCCCCAAGGTAGCTGAATGAGTACACTTTGCACTTTCGGGGATTCTTTAATCCCCTATATAACTGAAAGTGTACACTTTTAGAGGACGTATGAACTCAGCAACTACGAGTTTAGGGTGATAGGCTTTAGGCCGGGCAAAGCAGCTTTGTCAAAGTACAGTATACAGGGGAGAAAGTGGCGTCACCCTATAAGTAGGGTTGATAAGAGGACAGTGTCGACCATCTTGAGATTTGGGGGCTGCCGTTCTTTGACTCTGGAATCTACATGCCAGGTCTGAAGCGATTCGTTGCACGAGCCAGTGTGGACAAAGTAGCCGTTTTCTTACAGCCCAATATCCTGCCCCCATGTTGTGCGATATCCCTTGCGCACACATGAATTTTGGCATCCCGCAGCTCGCAATATCTTTCCCCAACTTCGTCATGTAGCTGGGCTGTCCATTGGGCTGAAGGACCGTCATGTTTGTTCTGACATGACCGTCCATGGGGTAGTACAAACTGCAAAAGCTCTTGGTCCAACGCTGAGCCAGCACCTGCTTCGGTGAGGATGGTCCATAGTCCTAAGTCCAAACGACAGCGCTGCAAAAGTGTACAGACACTCAGCGCCATTATTGGCAACGCAACGGCTTCCCCAAAAAGACCGCTAATTCGATCGCGTGAAAAGAAAGAAGCGCCGGACCCTGACGTGGTGTCTTGTTTGTGGAGGGGCAGCTCAGTCGTTGGAGATGAGACGAGATGAGATTTCGAGGTAACCGCCCTGCACCGTTTGGCACACGCCGTGGGCCAAGATGTCGCCGTGCCGCTTTGTGACAACATGCACTGACCAGGACCTTGTTCCCAGATCTTCCAAAACCCCTTACTTAAGGAATATACCCTACTTCATAATAATGATCCTGAATCCTGAGTATACATGAGGGTATATTCCTTAGGTAAGGGGATTTGGAAGATCTGGATTCTTCGCTTCGCCAATGAAAGCTCCTCTGTGTGCATAAGGCTTTGGGCGTGAGTTAGGGTTTAGGGTTTAGGGTTTCAGGGCAAACGTCTACGACCAGTACTCTATATAGCTAGAGACACTGTCCCCATTCACTAAAGCTCCGTGGCTACAAGATGAGTTTCATGTCTGCACGGCACGGGCGGACCCACCGCAGCAACATCAGCTGCTCAGCCACACACCCTACACGCCTCCGAAGATGACGGCCGTCGCCGAAGTCGGGGGAGGTACCTCGTCTGACTATTTCCTATATCCCCCTTTGGAACAATTTTTGGTTTTTATACAAAAACCCAGGAGGATATTAGAAATATTGCTTTTATTCAGGTTCTAAGGGGAGTATAGTTTCGTGCCAGTTCTGTTGTAGGCACGACTGGTTTGAACATGTTTGGACATCTTCCTAGGGAAGTCACTATGCCTCACGCTTAGTAGCGAATGTGCGGACTGCCATATGCCATATTGTGTTCCCGCTCCGCGCGCACCTAAAAGTCCAAAGGCCTTAAAGGGGTTTAGGGTTTAGTGTTTAGGGCTTAGGGTTTAGGGTTTAGTAAACCCTAAACCTAGCTGTCAAGTTGGTTCACAGCTCGTTTTCCCTGCCAGTCGGCTGGTGTGTGGCGATAATGGAAACTATGACACTGTTGCCCTAAACCCTAAACCCTAAACCCTAAACCCTGAGGAATGGGTGTGGAGGTGCCTTTGTCCGTGTTCCTTGGCTGTTTCGTGGTACTTCGGGATCAGGCTGGTTTGGGTCAAGGGATGAAGACTCGTACCGTTAAGGTTGTACCCTCAAAGGTTCCCCCTCATATGCTGCTGACATGGCCCTTATATTCCCCTAGTCCCTAGATTGCCCTGATAAGGAAGAATGTATTTTTGTTTCTTTCCTTTTTTTTGTTTGGGGGGGGGGACTTCTTAAGCAAATGGGAGTTTAGGGTTTTGCCTGTGGTGGCTGCCTCAGTCGTGCTGATGGGGCGTGTCGGATGGCGCTGAATTGCAAAGCCTCCCCCCTGAAACTAACAGTCCTTAATAGGGATTCTAATATGGGGGTGGGTACTATATTCACAAGAAAGGATTGATTGACCCTAAACCCTAAACCCTAAACCCTAGACCCTAAACCCTAAACCCTAACCCTAAACCCGAAACCCTAAACCCTAAAAAGCAGGTAGGCCAGAGTGCCTGCCCTGCCCAGTTTAGGGTTTAGGGTTTAGGGTTTAGGGTTTAGGGTTGATGGCGCTTGCAATCGGACAAGAGAAGCCTGCTGACAGCAGCACGACGAGGTTCCCTAAACCGTAACCTTAAACCCTAAACCCTTTTTTGGGGGGTCCTGATTATAACGGGATTCTATTAGTTGGGGTCTATTTTATTAGGGGTCCCCTATCTTGGAAAAGTTTCCCTTACAAAGTAACTAGGACCCGGAGTATGCCCTTATTTCCCTTTTTTAGGGTTGGGGTTCCCTTCGAATCCCCTGAGAACTGAAAAGGGTAGTCTTTTTTTCTTCCTAGGTCTAGGTAGCCGACTCAAAAAGGGTGCCCTCATTGTAATATGGTGACTGGGCTAACAAGTAGCCGCTTGTCACTTTCGTTGCGTTCGATCAGGATTTCGGGTTTTGCGGTTTGTGGCTTTGCTACCAACCACTGGGAGCCCAACGGAACGATAAACGCCCGAAGATCG